TCGCTAATGTCAGATTCATATTCGGATTGTGCGTTCCTGGGCCAGTTGGTGACCATTTAATCGTGTAGATTTCTTTACTATGGGCTTGCAGATCATGTACCCAAGTATCCTGTTTCATAGACCAAATCTTCAGACTCATATCGTCTGAACAACTGGCCAATAGGTTTCCTTGCGGGTCCCATTTAATTGCATTAACTTCGTTCTGCAAAACACATAAAAAAAATGAAAAAAAAAAAAAATAAATAAATAAATAAAAGAAAATGTTTAATTAAATCATGGCAATTTAATTTCCTTGCATCACATATACGCACTGTATGTCCCTGAAAGCTCTTAATGGGTTTATCGACATTAAGTTTGCACACATGTATGCACTGATCTGTAGAACAGCTTGCGAATGATGTGTTTGTTTGCCAATCGACATCCAAAGCAGGTGCACAATGAAAACTGAACTGTTGTGTACATTGTCCGCTTTCGGCATCCCAAATAATCGTCGTCTTATCGACGCCAGCACTCAGAATGTAATTGCCGCGTTTGTTCCATTTTAGTGCGAAAATCGGACCTTTGTGCTGGCCCAAAGTAGATGCCAGACGACCATCTGTTGTCCAGATTCGTGCATATCCATCATAACTTCCTGTCGCAAGTAATGTGCCGTCACACTGTAAAAATTTGAAATGCGTGTTTGCATCAACGTCTTCAAAAATAAATAAAAAGGTATCATAAAACAAGATAGCTTTGGTCCAAATTTTAACCATGTCCAGACAGCACGCATATCAAAATCAAAATATAACGTTTTAAAAATGTTTTAAAGATGTTTTTTTTTATTTTTGGATACAAGTGCTGTCTAGACATTTCTTAAAATTTGGGCCAAAGTTAACTTGACCAAAATTATTGAATCAAAATTATTTTATTTTACAATATTCAGTTTGTACCTTCCAATCCAATGATGTAACGTCTTTATTACTGGGTACTTCAGTACCACCTTTCTGGATACAGTGACGTAGAACTAACTGATTTGGAGCTTGTGAATTATCCGACATATCCCAAATACGAGCAGTACTATCACCTGAACCAGAAGCTAATAAATCAGTTGTTGGATTCCAGGCACAAATAAACACCTCCGATTCATGACCACGTAACTTAGTGGCTTTACTAGCAGGGATTTCGACGGTACTAGCATTGGAGCCTGCATTTACACCTGTTGTTGGTTCATCTACCTCCATCTCTGTTCCTCGGTCCCCACCTCGGTCACTATTATTTACGCCTTCATTGGATGTAACAACTGAGAAAAGAAACGTAGGTTTATTTGATTAATTTATAAGGATTTCTTATAACAGTTTTAGAAGAATAAAACAAATTCCTCTTCCCAATAATTATTCTAAAAATAGAAATAATAATGAAAAGACTACTGTTAAATCATGAGTAACGTTAACTTATATTTATTATTGTCGTTTGACAATAATACTTTACATATATTTCTACTTATTATTTAATTAGTTCATTTAAATTGTTTGCCACTAGTTGACAGTCAGATTGACGTGATGAGTTATATGCTGTCTCTTCTAGCTGCATCCAATGATAGCAATATGTTTCTTCATAGAAGAATCATATTTTTATCGTAATGTCTGACAGAAGTGACAAACTGTAGCTCGCAAAATGACCGAAATCTATGGCCGTCCTATTTTAATCTACCTGAATTTTAAGGAGGTCTGAAAATTATTTTCTTCTTCAGACCAGGGTGTATCAGGCTCCTAATAATACTTATTATTTTCTATGTAATCTTAATTGCTAGTGTAATTGTATCAGATTAGAGAATGAAATTGGATTTGAATTAAACAATCGAAAGAAAGAAAATCAATATCAAGTTCAATAAATTTTGCTCTGATTGATTAAATTTTAGTTCAATCTTCTCAATCTCCTATCTGATACAAATAGTTCCATTTTCATAATATATATATTTACCTAAAAATTAAAAATTGATAAGAAAGTCATCAATTCATTTATAAATTTCTTGGCAACCTTTTAAACTTTAGGTAACCAGATATTATGAAAACAAATCATACATGTAAAAAATTCAAACACAAGTCTACTTTGATCGTTATGTAAATATTTGTACCACGTAAATTACCTTCTTCGCCATTGGTATCTTGACCTTCAGTCTTCACCTGTTGTTTCTGTTGATTGATCTGATTCTGCCGTGTCGCAACAATATCTGGCATAACAGCGTCTATAAGAGATAAAGATTCCACCATTCTATGTTCGGTGCCATCTTCGCCAATCATAATCTCTGCTTCTGTGTATTGTAATCCCTTCTGAATTATGGATAAGAGTGCCGCCGGTGGTACAAGGGCTCCATTGATATTACTCTGTGATATGTGGGACTCAATTCCAAATGTATATGCAGAATGCTGGAAACCTGTAGAAAATAAAGATGCACAAATAAGATCACACGAATGAGCAAATAGAGCAAGTTGCTCGAACGGTGATGAATTTAGGTAAATTTAGATGCATTTTAAATCCAGGACAATAAGTCAAGTTGATAAACAACTTTTATGGCAATCAATCATATTGATAGATAAATTTCAGGAATCATTTGACTGGGTGACTCAATTTTAGCTACACTTAAATCACCAGTCTTCATAAGGATCAACTAATCATGTCTGTTTATGAGTGCGGTTGAGTTGCAATTATGAATGCTTCAAAGCATTTTTTGATTGGTCAATTAGTAAAATTCTTTCTTCTGATTGGTTAATCAAATGCTTCAAAGCATTCATAATGGCAACTCAACCACATCCTATATCAATATAAAAAAACTTTACTTTAATCTCAATTCAGTTTACTTTTCATCTTTTCTAATTCTAAAAATTAGAAAAGGACAGAGTTAAATCGATATTAAACCTACATAGTTCACTTTATTTAAGATATTTTCGAAATATTCTTAGAGCATTTATTAAGCCTATTCTACAATATGCTTTTTCTTTTCTATTCCTGCTTTTTGCTACTTTTTACAGGTCTATTTTCTGTGGTTGAATTAGTGTACACTTAAGAACTTAAAGTGAGATAGATATATGTTTGATATTTGTTAAAAGCAAGAAAGAGAGTTCTAATGCCCATATTCATAGTCAGGCCTTGTACTTAAATTTAGCTTTAGAGCCAAAGAAATAATTCATAGAGTACATAGAGTAAAGATAAATTTAAGAAAAGCCTTAAATATAAGGCCTGACTATGAATACATATATAACAGTTTAGTGCAGGAACAAAAAACAGACTAAATCCTTATCTTTTTGCTTCTTATCTGGTCTTTTATATCGCTCGAGATAAAAGAAAAATTTTGGAAAAAAACAAGAGATAAAAAGCAAGAAACAGGAAACGAAGAGCACGTTGTAGAATAGGCTTTATAGGACAAAGGAGAATGCAATTCGTTTCACGCATGAAGCGCATGATATAAAAATATTGAAGGATAAAATATATCATGTACAACCGTATATGAAACAGAACGAACTCATTAATATCCTTTGGAGATTTGTGCTATTTGAGAAATTAATTATCTACATTGGTGAAAATCATCATCAATCATGTGAAATCGCGCGTGAACATTGCCGGGTTCCCTTAGCACGTGATGTAGCGGACGCAGAACGGCGTTGATCGCGCTGCGAGGTTATAAAGCGGCGAAATCGTACCGGATTCCTGCAGATATCGGTAGACCAGGAAATTGACCTCATCGCTGGAGAAGCTCATCGTGTTTGACATTCACGGTATTAGCACAGCATATTCACGATGTGGAGTCCGTTGTGAGGCCGTTTCCTAGAGTCGGTCACGGCCAGTCCCGGCCGTGTACAACTTCGAGTCTGTCTGTGTCCTGGAAATAAAGTTTTACTTCGCCTTCTTCACTGCCCGCCACTGTTTTGCCGCGTCGTAAACCAACAATCGAATCCGATTGAGGTTCGCGAAAGAAGGAGATAGGCAGAGATTGTCCACTAGCGGTGGACAATGAACTCAGAACTGCGGAACGGATATAACGAATACTGGCGATGCCGATGGTGCCAAAAGCCAAAACGGCGGCAAACTGCTTACTGCGGCAAACCACAGCCAACTGGGCCAACTAATGAGAGTAATGAGTGGTTCACAATGTTCACAGAATTTACACATTTATAGCCCCCGTGACTGCCGCGAGGCGGCGAGGCCACGATCTTCTATATTTTCACGAGCTGTAAAGGTATATTTTCACGAGCCGCTCGAATAAGCCGTTTCAGCGATAGAGAAATCACGTGATCAATTGACGCTTGGGCTGCGTTCGGAAATATCACCCAATGCCTCTATGTACCATTTTATCCTTATTGTTCACCCAATGTTAAATAAAGATAAGGTGATACACAGGGACACCCGGATGATATTTCCGAACGCAGCCTTGTATCATCAATGCATTCAAGCCAGACAAAGCGGCTAGCTGATTAAATGTGATTGATTGGATCTGTAAGTAACAACTAATCATATTTATTTGCTTGGCGAGCAGCCCGCGAGTAAGTTAAGGTACAGCCACAATAGAAGGAATAAGGAATTAGGAATAAGAAATAAGACTTTCAACCTATCAGATATTGGATACACTGGAATACACGGTTTCTGATAGGTTAGAAACCTTATTCTTTATTCCTAATTCCTTCTATTGTGGCCACACCATTAGTCGCTTTTTTGTATGTAATTCTTTTTAGTACTGGAATGACGTCACTAACTGATGGAATTTTAAAAAAAATTATATTAATATTATTAGCATTATTGCTACAATATTAATATTATTAACACACCAATAATTGAAAGAAAATTTATTAAACGAAAAGAAATGTTGAAACTATTTGCGAAACTGTGCAGAATTAATGAAGAGCTGAGAATAACTCGAGAAAGTGAAAGTTGATGTAAATTAAAAATTAATTTGTTATAACTTGCTTGTATCTTAAATGAGCAGAAAGTGCAACAGAGTGCAGATGCTCAGAACAGCCTCTATTTTTTTAAAGATGGCAGTCGCACAGTGAATCAGGAGAAAAAGAAAGAGAGAGAGAGAAAGGTTGCAAACGGTTGTCAACAAATAGCAAGATTTGTACTTGCAGAACGGGTGATTTAGGATGATTAAAGAAACGAGAGAGTTGAATTGATCTTAAGCTACGTTTCTTCTCTTTTTATGTAACTACGACGCGAAAGAATAAACTGCCGAAAGTGCCGAGAGTATCGGAAGTAGCAAGCACGGGGCAAGAGCTATCGAGAAACAAGCCTTCCTCTACCTGAAACATAGACTTTGATGAATGTCTGAGAGTGACTACGATTCAGCAAACGAGTACACAAGCCTGATGGACGGTCACGTCGCGGAATCTCGCCCGGACGACCTGATCCTGGACAACGAACGTCGGAAGGGCCGCTCCAGAAGTGCTAATGAAGAAGTAGGTTTTTTTAAAGAAAATTCTCAGTCTTTTATTTACTCAAAGAATTTTACTAATTTCAGCTTTCTTGTTAGCATAAAAGTTTAAGAAATTTTCGTTAAAAATGTCAGGAAGATCTTTAATGTTTTATTTAACCCTTTTAAGGCAAAGTTATTTTTTTTTTTTTCAAGTTATTTAAGATATCCAGAAAAGTAGAGTTGGATCAGATCCTGCCTCATGCTGTTTATTTTTCATCTAATCAATGTAATAAGATGAATAAAAAGGAGTAAATAATAAATGTTTTGAACGAAAGATACAGATATGATACATTATATAGATAACAATGAATCATTATGTCCTTGTTTACTAATGTTAAAAAAAGGCTGCTTTTCTTTTAGAAGACAGTTTATACAAATTTTTTTATTTTTGTTATTCATTGAATATCAAGGAGGAGAGAACAACTTCTATGTCTCTTATTTTTATTTTTTTTTTGAAAACAGCCAAAGATAAAATCATCACTGTGTTATACTATGTCTCTTATTAGAAAGCATCAGATGTCATGAAATTTTTTTCTTCTGTTGCATGGATATTATAAATAAACAAAACCAGAAGTCGTATTTGACCCAAAGCACTTTACCAAAGGAAGATTAATCCAAGATTTTTTATAATTTTAATTTTTTTGTTGGCAGAAAGATTTAAGATATCATTAAAAATATTTTTCCTCTGTCACAGATAGAAAATGGTGTTCCTGAGGTACACATCGAAACGCCAGGCTCAGCTGTCGCCCGATCAAATAGACGAGGCACATCCGGTAGCAATAATCAAAATAGACGGAGGCACTACAGAGATGAGGAAGAGGAAGAACTGAAGTATGGGGCGGCGCATGTGATCAAACTCTTTGTCCCTGTTTCGCTGTGTATGCTGGTTGTGGTAGCCACTATTAGCTCAGTCCATTTCTATACAACCAAGGGAATGTACTTGTGAGTTTTATCTTCATAATAATGGCTTATGTGTTCTGTTCTTTGTGACTGAACTAGCGTACATTTGTTGTACTTAAGGAGGTTTTTACGTTAGAGTGCTGATTTCAAAGGTGTTTTTTTAATCATTTTTTTAATGAATAAAAATTTAGATATACTTAAAAAATAATACAAATTTAGAAAATGCAATGTACATGTAAACAAATTTTTTTTTTAATGTTTGTTTTTTACAAAGTAGCAAAAAATGGAGCTTTTTCTTAGTAGATTTGTAACTCTTTTCTGAACTAGGATAATTAATATCATGCATATTTGTAAATGGCGATAGTTTGAAAAAATTATTCGATTTTGCTTATTTTTTTCCTTTTTGAGAAAATTTTTATCTTCCAATAATAGTAAAAAAATCAATGTAGACTATTAATTCTAATTCAGGCGATAATGACATATAATTAATCACAGTTGCACCATCCAGCTATCCAACTAGCTGCGTTTTCACTCTAAGAAATAGTGATTGATCATTTCACATGAAAACATTGCGGATACTAAATTAATGAAAAACATGCAAATACCTTAGCCTTACACGTCTTATCACTCACTTAATTACATGGATTCATCTGTATGTACTGAGGCTGGCTAAAAAGTTAGCCGAAACATATATACAAATTAATAATTAAATATGTAAGATATAATTTAATAATTTGAAATTTATCGCTCACATAGTACAGCGCTAATTTCCAATAGCCAAATTTATTATAATTATATTTTTTATAAGCTATCGGAAAACAAAAAAAATCGATTTTTTTTAACTCTCTAACGTAAAAATCCCCTAAAAAGAAATAGTTATATATTTAAAATTTAACAAAAGCAAGAAAGTTTTAGTGTAGTCCAATGCAACGACAAAAAGACTTACGTTATAACGCTGTATATTAATTTATCATAATAAAAAATTAATTTTTCAGAGTATACACTCCATTTCATGAGGACAGCTCCGACACGAGTACTAAAGTTTGGCAGGCATTTGCCAATTCGCTGATTCTCATGAGCGTCATTGTAGTTATGACTGTGATACTTATCATCCTTTACAAATACAGATTTTATAAAGTCATACATGGCTGGTTGATCATAAGCTCTCTATTGTTACTTTCAATGTTTTCTGCTTTATATTGCGAGTAAGTATAAAGATATAAGAATAAATTTAAAACACTCCTATCAAATTCTACTAATGTAGATTAATTTTAATCTCGATTTATAACTTACTGTTTCTTCTAGTTTTAAAAATTAGAAAAAGGTAAACAGAGTAAATTAAATCAAGACTAAAGTTAACCCTAGCTATACATATTCTTTCTTTCTATCCTTAATATACACTCGGGTCTCTGGGACCCCCATTTATTTTTATTTGTTACCTTAACTTCCGTAAAAATGAACATATTTCAATTAATTTTTTTTCAATTAATGAAGAATTGATTAAGAAACAAGTGTGTAAAAATCGATAGAATTAAGGAATTTCAAGATATACAGATTTAAAAAACAAGAAAAGTTTAGAAACAAAAAAATCTTGAAACTTTAAATACGAAGCGCCTTAAGTTCCGAGTGTTAAGATGTTGAACTAACATTCATTTAAATTAAATTAATTATTCAGAAATAAATTGAGAGCCGATAAATTATCGGATTCACACAATCATTCTGATAATCCTCCCAAATTTTTCCCAAATCTTAAAAATTGTAATAAACTTATTGCAAAAAATATTGCCTCGGCCGAGAGTCGAACCCGGATCTCTTGCATTCCGTGCAAGTATCCTAAGCCTTTAGACTACTGAGACAAAAATCTTGATTTAGCAAATTGCACTGGGGTTTCTGGGACTCCAGTATGTATAGTTAGGGTTAATTTACTTTGGTGGAAACCGGCTTCTTCTCTCTCTCTTCTGTCTTTAACATCTAAAAGAAGATTTATGGTGTGTTTGTACTTACAGGCAAATGTTGAAAGCTTACAATATTCCAATGGATTTATTCACGCTAGGTATAGGCTTATGGAATTTTGGTGTAGTCGGAATGATTTGCATTCACTGGCAAGGGCCGTTACAACTTCAACAGGCGTATCTGATCTTTATTTCCGCCTTGATGGCACTCGTTTTCATTAAGTATTTACCTGAATGGACAGCATGGGTTGTCCTCGGTGTTATAAGTATTTGGGGTAAGGCGGTTTCGAGATGGAAATTTATCACACATACAAGGATAATCTTACATTCTTACTTGCATTATAGATTTGATTGCGGTTTTAATGCCGAAGGGTCCACTAAGGATACTTGTCGAAACCGCGCAGGAAAGAAACGAATCTATTTTCCCTGCTCTAATATATTCTTCTACCATCTTATACTCCTTTACTGTGACTTACGCTGGATATGTACAAGCAGCTACAATGGCGTCTGGAGATACCACAGCGTCTCCTACGCGTGGTCAGGCAGACAATCAAAATAATCCAGTATCAGGCGATACAGAAGAGGGAGGTTTCTCTCCCGAATGGGTAGAAACGCACGGTACGAATTGAATATTAATGAAATTTTTAATAGAAAGAATTATGTTAATTATTAATTTAATTATTTAATATAATCAAACTCTATGGATTGCGGAAAACATTGAAAGTAACAATAGAGAGCTTATAATCAGCCAGTCATGTATAACTAATGTAATCAAAAGCTCTATGGATTAGTAAATTATATAATTTAATTTTTTTAAAACATAAAAATTTGAATTTAAAGTTCCTATTCTGTAATTTTCTTAACGATAACGTTGATGTTATTATATTGTCGTTGCGCAAGTTTTATATATAATAAAAAAACTACGCAACAACAATGTAATGACATGTAGTTATCGTTAAAAGTTACAGAATAGAAATTTAAATATTAACAAACAGGTCTTTTAAATGAAAAACTAAATTAATCTTGTTATACAGATGAGCGTAGCACGAGACGCGTTCAAGAGGTACGCGAGAACTCGTCCGCTTTAAGAGAAAGCGCGAGACAGCAGGACAATCGTCCGCGAGAGTCGCAACGACAAGCTGCGGTCGCCGAGGAGGAACGTGGAGTTAAACTAGGTCTCGGGGATTTTATCTTTTACAGTGTCCTCGTCGGAAAGGCGTCCACTTATGGAGACTGGAACACCACGTTGGCTTGTTTTGTTGCTATTCTTATTGTACGTATTCTAAAATATGCTCATTGCAATGGATATCGATATAATTTTTTTAATCGATTGTTTTTTTTACATAGGGCCTCTGTTTGACACTGCTATTGCTGGCTATATTCAAGAAACCGTTACCCGCGTTACCAATTTCTACCACGTTCGGTTTGACGTTTTATTTTGCTACGAGAGCAATTGTCGCGCCGTTTGCTGATAGTTTAGCGAGCGAGCAAGTGTTCATTTAAATTAAGGTATGACAAATCATCCTATTAATTTAATATAATTTATTTAAAAATCGAATGTCGAGGGGACGATGACTGTTTACTTATTCATTTAGTATCTGCCACATTATCTTTATAGGACGATAAAATCATTATAGTGATGTTAAAGCAGCGTCATATTTTGAGGCAAGAAATACAATGAAATAATAAATTATAACAAATCTCATTTAAGAATAGACTGTGAGGTTTGAAAATAGACGTCCTCTAAAGATTAATCTTCATATTACTTATTTGTTCATATTATTTTATATTACTTTCTCGAGCTGATCTTTTTTTTTTAAATATTAATATAACTTGTTTTTTTTTTTGTGAATTTTTATTAGATTAAACAAATCAAGACAAAAAGTACCTACACTTTTAAACGTTTATCAGAGAATCGTGTATCAAGTGTGTGTTATGTGAGTGTATGTATGAGTGTCTTAAAATGCTCAGAGAAAAGGGAAATACTAATTTAAATTTTTAATATAGAGAATGAGAGATAGAGGATGTAATTACTTTAGTATTTTTCTATGCGAAGCGAATTCACAAGAACGCCTCGTTATGGAACTAAGCGGTTTACATTTCATCGCGGCAATATGTGATAATCAAGCGAGAAAATGCGCTGCATTATAACAATTTATTGTACTCCATTGTTACACTTATGGAACATATATAGGTCTCGTAGGTTCATGTATAAAAAAAGCGGATAACGACTGGATGATCGCGGTGAATTGTATGAAATACGCGAGGTAATATCCGTTCGAATAAGTAATAACTGCCTCGTTATACACTCATCTCGATTAGTATTCGCAGTACGCACTGAACGGTGCCGTTACTCTAGAGCGTCAAGTTCGTTATCACTAATTATTAATTATTAGCCAGGATGAATCTGTGGGGTTTTCTCGAATCCAGGTTACACACAGCCATGGAATAAATATTTTTTTTATCATACTACTGAAAAGCATATTTATCGTACTTGTGGCGCTTAGTGTTTTTTTTTATATAGATTTTATTTTAACATACTAAATATAATAGTTTTCTTAAAGCTGAAAGTGTTATTTTTTTTCGTCGCATCTTTGAACATCTGATAAGAATACAAGACGAAATGTCCTGGTTATATAACGAACAAGCTTTTTATCTCAAGGTTTTTTGCATGCCAATATAAGATGCTTTTCAATAAACTTTAATACTTCAGTCATACAATCCGATCGATTTGATCAATTGTCATCCATAGCAATGCAGTGATATCTTCCAAATCGATAATATCATTGATCAACTTTGGTTTAGTATTAATATTCAAATAAACGCTAACATCTGCATAACAACTCCAACTTTAACAGTGTTCTGTTAATTCCTTGCACTATATACATTTTATGCTCACATGCACGCACACGTACACACAAACAGGCAGACAGACAGTGCGTCTGTTAATAAACACTTTATCACTATTTCAGATACTTAAAGGCCACAGTTTGAAAAAAAGTTCATAGAAATATGTATCTGGAGATACTATCTTATAATATCAATCAATTATAATCCTATAATTAATTAATTTCTTTAATTTTTTTAATTTTTGAGTGCAGTAAAATTCTATTAAAAATTTTGAATTCTTGCTCCTGTCCCAAAAAATAAAAAATAAGTGACTCGAAAAATCAATTATGAATAAAATAAAAAAAAAGTACTTTAGCAAATTTTTATTTTATTCATATCTTAAGTTTGGGAGATATAAGAAAATATTGTTTCTTTTTAATCTTTACATTTCTGTACACATATTTATATGAATTTCTTTTCTTATTTGGATCTCTAGAACACATACCTGAAGTAGTGATAAAAGTTTTATTAATAGCCAGCGATAGATCCCGAAAGCGGAAGAACTTTAACAAAGATATGATATTTTTTTTCGCTTGTAATACATTGCTACGTTCACAAGCCGATAATTATTATTATGCTAATGGAAATTAGAGTTCTTTTAATTCGCTAGTCGATTCGCTATTTCGGATCGCGCATACAAAATGCTTTTCGACGCACAAAATAAATACTCTTCAGCTATCGAATAAACTATACGAAGTTATGGTCACCGTTGCTGACGAATTCGTTCTTTCGCTGCACCGTAATTTACAATAATATACGTTTGTGCTAGTGAAACGTAATTGGAATGATAATATTAACTACATGATTCGACTATATCGAAGGAAAGTACACTTCGTGAATTCTACTGGGAAATTCTATTGGAAAGACATTAGGAAAATATCTGTAAAAGAGAAAATAAATCGCTATGATGCGATATATCTCGTCTCGCTAGCTGCGGTCTTTCCTCTCTCATAAAGAATATATCACGTTACTTTCCACATTATTGTCTCTGTGCGAATTTTCCGGCGAGCACGAGACAATATCAGTGAAGAACGCTCATTTTCTACAAACCAGTCTTACGATCACTAAGCTTCTGGAAGCATATATATTTTTTGTAACGACTACAAAGCAGGATGAGTCACTTAACATTTGCAACTCGATTACTTTAAATCGATTACGATAAATGTAATATTCTTATTGAAAATATCAATGAGTTACGGAACATTTTAGTCTTTCATTTTATATATGATTCTTCGTAGAATTGATATGTAATTCAAGGAATGTATTGTGTGCGATAAATGTTACGAGACTCATTCTGTATAAACGTCGTTGCTACTCAATTCACTCAATATCTCTTTTGCTATAGCTACTGCATTTTTATAAATAGAAAAGAAAATGACAAAAATACGATAAATAATAAACATTTGTCATATTTCACTTACTTATTCAATTCTCTCACTCATTCTTCGGCATTCGAAAAGGTGAGGGTTGCACGATAGTATTTTAGCTAGTTCCATACTTGCCGCTCTCGAACATACCGCGTCTGAAAAACGAGCTAAACTCCAATAAAGATTGTTTGTTTATGTTACTAAGATTGCCGTTGTATTTGTATAGGGGCTCGCAGTGCGGCAGTTCCGAACAAACTTGAATTAATCGGCGAAGATATTCTTCGAGGCGTTTCCGACGTTGCCTCGCTACGACTTCGTATTTTGGAAAGACTTGGCGTGGGGGGAATCGTATCGCGGCGACCTGTGATCAAAGAGTCTCCGTAAAACCGATTGTGTTGCGAATGCGTGCTTACATTTATGAAAATGGTCTGAATCGTGTGTATATATACAAATAATATATAACTTTGATCGATAAAAAGATCTAATTATTTCAAAAAAAAATTATATATTTTTTGTTTTGAAGTAATTAGACCTTTCTATAATTCAAAGTTCATTTTAGAACATTTATAATTCATGTCAAAGTTCAGAATAAAGTTACGTAATATTTATGCATATACATGTATGCATGATTTGTATTTTATATAAGTATGTCCTGATTTTTCAATGTTTTTCCGTATTTTATATGGCAGATAGAATTTATAAAAAAGAATTTTATAATTTAATTGTTTGAAATGAGATTAATAATTTAGGTATAATAAATGAGATACTTTTTATACAAGATCTCTTTCTCTGCAATGGTAAAATTTTATTTTACAAATAATTTCTTCAAAACTTAAGTAAACCACACTTGGATATCTTACATAACTTCAATTCCCATATTTGTGCCAGTTTTATAATTATATAATGTACAATAACGTACCTTACTACCGTATTTCTGTCGCATCGATATGTACAATTCCCGAAACCTCCTGTATCTTCGTAGCAGCGTCCAACTGTCGTCCTGTGCCACAACTCGCACCTCGTATTCATAATGGCTGGATGCGCCGGCTCCGCGTATCACATATGACGGCACGCTGACGATCATATTAATCACACAGTCGTTGTCGTTCGCTATTAATGATGGTAGGGACCTCGTGATTGTCAAAGAATACGGACTACTTAAGCGGTCGCCGCGATTCTGACTCTGTGCAAAAAATGTGTGTTGAAGTTGTCTCGAGATTGATCATCTAAAATCTAAAGATTTGTTCTTTGTTGCTCCGCATTGGACTATACTAAAACTTTCTATCTCGCTTTAGCCAAAAACTTCAAAAATATATCTGTTTCATTTTTAATCTCCGTGGTTCAACCGAGGCAAATTTTCAATTCTTAATTATTCTGCTTTAAATTTGAACACGTACAAAAAGTGAAAGTTTCGAGTCATATTATTGTATAATCGTATTTTTTAATGTTGAAAAAATGTACTAGAATTTTTTTAGATTTTTTTAGAGCCTAAAAACAATTTGAAAAACACATCAGACATCCGATTGGATTAGGAAAGCAATGAGAAAATGTTGAATCACAAAGGGTTTGTTAAGTATAACAAATATACATAGTTCATCACAAAGAACAAACCTTAAGATGAAATGGAAGAAATTGATGATTTACCGTCAAATAAACTGTCGAGTAACCTCGACTAGAGGATCTTTTAGACGCTAATGATTCCGACAGAGTCTCTTGATCGTTAGTATTAGGCCTGTTATTCCTGAAAAGTTGAGATTTGGTTTGCGCTACCGTTAATAGAGTGGCGGAGCTATTATTCGTAGGTTCTACAACACTACAGTAAGCATTTGGTTCGTTCTGTACATAGCCCTCGGTTTCGTTGATGACGAGTCTATCACTATGGTTGTTGTCGTCGTCGTCGCACTGGAGCCGCCTCGTGGAATGATTTTTCCGTTCATCCTCCAATAAAGACACTTCCAATTCGATCTGTTGTCTCTGCAGATCCTGTAGTATCATTATTTGTCGATTGAGATCTTCCTTCGACGGGGTACCGGCGTCCAAGCATCTCATCACCATCATCCGTTGACGTGCGATTCTTTGGTTCAGCCTCTTCATCACCGGATTTTGCTGTATTGGCGATTCCAGCGTATCCTGGAGCATGTTCTCCGGGATGGTGGACACCGTGGGCGGTTGTACCTTTCCTTCTTCGTCACTCACCAGCTCCATGGAAGCAGCTCTATTCGCATTTATCGTACTTTTAGTATCCACTTCGGATGAGCTGTCATCTCGGTCTTCAATTGCAGATTTATCTTTCATCAGATCGTTTATACACGTCGTGTTGACATCTTCGAAGGCTATGTGAAGTTCCGGAGAATCGGCCGCTGCCGTATGGAATGTTTCCACGGTATCGGAGCTTGGTATACTCTGCGGCAACAAGTTCAAGTCTGAGGCGATCTGATGTTTCCTATTGTTCACTTCGTGAAAAGATGTGGAATTACAGCTGAAAGCTTCGTCGCAATCATTCGATGAACAGCCATCGTCCAGAAACGCGGGCGTAGTGCGTTTTAAGTCCAACGATAGACTGTGTTTACGCCGTTCGATTTCTTCAAGCTGTTCCTGAGTGCGCTTGGCCAACAATAATTTCTTCTCCGTTACTCCTTCATCTCCCAGCTAGAAATCATTAACGTAAAGAATCGTTTTACAGAACCTTAATATTTTACATATACATACTTCTGCCCTGAATATTTGCTTCTGCTTCTTCGCGATCTCCATCAGTTCCTCCTCCATCTTATCCACTTTACTCTGATGTTCATTTAAAGATTTGACCTTGCTCTGCAACTCGTTTTCCAAAGCGACTAGCTCTTTTTTCTATTTAAGAAAATCACATATTTTTAAAAGAAAGTAGTTAAACAAGATTGAAGAGAAACTCTTAAGGCTTCTGTTCATTTGCCACTCACTACTATCTCAGATTGTGTGACGTCAGAAGCGAAACACGATAAAAATTTATCTTACAAATTATATTTAAATAATAGAAATATTTTTCAATAAAACAATTTATAATTTATAAAATATTTCTAAACTATTTCGGGAAAAGAAATTAAATCATATTTATATTGCTATTTATTATTAATTTAATAAGTTTGCTATGAACCATAGCTATGAACATAGCTCATTTTGGTTATGCATAATTCATTTCCAGATATATGCATGATGTAATGTAAGAATACATCATGGATATATACGGTGCTTTCCATTAATGACAGAAGTCGATACAAACATCGTTCTATCTTTCTATCATTCCAGTAAGTAAACAAAGGTAGAAAGACTTGCGTTAACAAATGGAAAGCTCATGGTTATTTATTAATTAATGAAACAAAAGAAAATTTTTATATATTATATTTATTTTAATTAATATAATATATAAAATACCTATTGACCCTGGTTCAGCAAAGAAAGCAACTTTGCAACTGTTGTAAAATTTTTCAATACAATTGATTGTTGCTTTTGCTTTCTGGATCTAAATGTATAAACCAATCATATTGAAGAATTTTTGCAACAGTTGCAAAGCTGCTTTCTCTGC